TAGTTTAGTTTAATGTGTTTAGTTTTGAGTTTAGGTTGTGTTTTGCATTGTTTATATATTGTATTGTATTGTTTTTTTCTTTTTGCTTTCCTCCTTTTTCGTTTTTTCTGTTTTTTTTTCTTTTTTCTCTTTTTGTAATCTATAAAAGTAATAAATACTATTTAAAAAAAAAAAAATACATTCCAGCACAGCTTGCGGGGAACTTCCCTTGTGTATAGCTTTTGCTTTTCTGGTTCTCTCTGAGAAGATGAGAGAGACAACATATTTCTTTGTCCTGATTTATGATTAATAAATCTGTAGTTGCCGTATGCTTCCACAAGCCTCACGCCTATTCTGTGTGTGCGCAGATCACTCTGCTGATAGTGTGCCCTAACTTTGTTTTTTTTTTAAATGATATTTATTAAAGTTACAAAAAATAAAAGAAATACAAAATACAGAAAAAAGAGTAAATTTTTTAAAATATAACAAAAAAGTAAAGGATAAAAAAGAAACATACAAAATAAAACAGTTAAAAAGACATTAATTTTCTAAACCTATCTTCTCTAGACTTATTTCCCCGGACCTCCTCATACCTCCCTTCTTTGTATTCCAGTTCAGTTTGTTAGTTCAGCAAATCCTTACCATTAAACTTTTGCCCAGTTGTAAGCCTTTTTTCATATCTCTTAAAGCATTACAGCTAAAAAGCTCTTAGTTTCTATCCAACATCCTTCTAAGATTCCTTAATTTTACAATATTTCTGTAAATAGTCTTTAAATTTCTTCCAGTCTTCTTTCACCGACTCTTCTCCCTGGTCTCGGATTCTGCCAGTCATTTCTGCCAGTTCCATGTAGTCAATCACCTAACTTTGAAGCCCTGGTCATTGATTTACATCGGGCAGAGGCCGATGGTCTTTGCAGCGGGACGACTGGAAGGGAGCGGCTCAGCTGGGCATAGCCAGCTGGCCTCCTGGCCCTCTGCATGCTGACAACTATAACCTGCAAGGTCAAATTCTAGGATCCCATCTTGCATGGTGCTGCTTCAGGGGGGAGGTATCAGGCAGAGAGGGGACACTGAGCAGGAATTCCGACCTTTACCTGCAGCCAGTCAGTTACACCCCTCTTGGCCTTGTCACAGTTTCCCACCTAATGCCTATCTCTCATTCCTGCTTCACATCCCAGGTCCAGGCAGCTCCGTGTCACTCTGGGCCACCCAACCCCAGCAACCTGGGGCTGTCTTGATCCGATTCATCCCATGTCCCAAGGTTAGAGAAGGTGCCAGCCCTCCAAGGAAAGGGAGAAAGTTCTTGGCTGGTGTCAGAGGGAATTGGATATGAAGCCTAGAAGTGACTGCACAAAACGATCTTAGGGAACATGCTGTTTTCTGAAGAAGTGCCTGAGCTCCTTCCGCTGGGCTCTGTTTGTAAAGAAAGCAAACATTGCAAAGACATCAGAAGCACCCAGGCTCAACAAAATGTATCAGGATGACACCAAACTGCAAAAGGCAGCTTTGGCCTCACTGAAGTCAGGAAGCTGCAGCTATGCATTCTCTCTCTCTCTCTCTCTCTCTCTCTCTCTCTCTCTCTGTGTGTGTGTGTGTGTGTTTACACTGAAAACCACCCTGTGATCCTCGGATGAAGGGTGGTATAATGGTATGGGGTTGCTCGTGCGTAAGTTGCCGCCTCTCCTGGCTATGTTGCCTTGTTAAACCTTTCTGTCCGGACAGCCCTTCAATTCGTGGCTGCCTCAGTCGCTAGCAGAATCCGTCAGTGGGCGTTTCTTAAACCTTTTCCAACATAAAAGTTGTTTGACACCCAGTCTCCTCCTACTTTCTCTGCGTGGAGGTCTTCTGCGCAGGGAGGGCGTGGGTAGCGGAGGACCAGTGCTCTCCCCGCTGGTGTCCGGTGAAGAGTCTGGGAGCCCTCTCGCGATTCCCCCATCTGCCCCTCCTTATTCCTGGTGTTGCACTGAATTGCTTCCCCATCTGCTGAGCTGCCTCTCTCCCTGCTGGGCCCTTCTCCAGCATCATCAGAGAGCCTTCCCTCCACCTCTAGCTCCGATGTCAGTTCCCTGACAGGTGGTATATAAATTGAATTAATAAATTAATAGAACAATAAATTAATAAATAAACTAAGCCCTGCTCCACTGCTCATGAAACTTCTCAGTTGGAGAACCTGAGAAACACATAGCAATATTCACAGTTCTCTCTTATGTTAGTATGTTTCATGTTAGACCACTTGTTATCTCCTGTTAGTCCAACCTCTTTGCATGCAAACCATCTTCATTGTGACAAGCAAACTACATTCTGCTCAAGTTAAACATCTGCTTTGTAGCATGAGCTTTATTTTATTTTATTATTTTATTTTGTTTTAAATTTAGCAGAGAACACAAATGAAACATGCATGGGCAAAAACAGGTGAAAACTTTACAGGCGAGCAAATATCGCAATTCCCAAAATTGGAAGAAAACCTCTGAGTCGTTAACAAAAATCCAAAACGAAACATTAAAATTATGGACTAAAAAGAAAACAAGTGGTAGAGCTGGAGGAAGAGCAAAAGACATAGGTAGGGTACGTTAAGATGAGAGAACAGAGAGAGGAACGATTGGGGAAGCCCATGGAAGGCTTTGAAGGCAGTTGTTCTGGACTTCAGGAACAGGCAGGAAGGCAATGTAGGGATTTAAAGAAGAGTCTTCACAAGCGAGTGCTGTTTCAGGTTTCCCATGGGCATCTGGTTGGCCACTGTGCAAACCTAGAGGTGAGCTAGATGGGCTTATAGCAAGATCCAGCAGGGCTCTTACTATGCCCACAAGGGAGCTGCTTCTGGAAGCGCAACAGAAGAGGGAATGAACTCTGGGTGTGCCTTTAGGAGATGGCTCATTCCTCCTGCCTTGCTCATTCAGTAGCCCTGAGAGCTTCCATAATGGAGCTGGATTTCCCAACCTTTTGGGTTGAAGGAGTAAAGGGGGGGGTAAGTACTAATGTCACTAGCTTTGTTGCTCTTTTTTGATGCGATGTGGTTTGATATTTTCATAAGCTTTCTGTTTATTGGAACGTTGGTGTTAATAGTTTATCACATTTAGTGTTATGCTGTAGTGGTGTTACACTTTTTAATTATGTATTGTCACAGTACTGTTGTAGTTTGACTATGGTTTGCTTCCAATGTCAAGTGACTTGAGTGCTGTTGGTTCTGCTTCTGGGCTACACTAGTTGTGTGGGAACAGGATACTGGACCAGATGAACATTTGGCCTGACCCCGCAGGGCTCTTCTTGTAGAATTATAAAATAATAGGATTGAAATTGGAAGGGACCCAAGGATCCCTTCCATCCTTGGAGTAAAAGGATTGTCTACTCCAATCTTCTGCAGTGCAGGACTCACAGCTACATAATTTTTGACAGAGGGCCATCAACCTCTACAGGAGTCCAGCACCTTCTAAGGGAGTCCATCCAACAGCTCCCACTGTCAGAAAGTTCTTCCCACAAGGCTCCCTATGGGGTGGTGGTTAGGATTATGTTCTTATATTTGTGAGGAAAATGGAATATTAAAAAAATATATCTATAACTAGGAGTGTCACAACATCAGAACAACAGGAGAGGTGGATAACAATGGCAGCATGCTGCTGAACCTTGTTCTCTAATCCAAAGATACACACTTCTTCCAACTGACTATCAATATGACATCATTTCAGCTTGGTTTTTTTAGAGGGGGGAAAAACATCTTCCAATAAAAGGACTCATGTTCTTGGTAATTTTCTTGGTATTGAAATACATAATTTTTATTCTGTTTCGTTCTGCATTAACTCCGACGCAATGATGCCAACACACTGCAGAGATTCATGGCGAATAAAGGTAGCTGAGGTTCTCTCCTAAGCAGGAACCCCTCCTCCCCCCTCCGCCCCAAAGCTTGGTTAATAAGAAGCTCCCAGAGTTTAATTCCCATCTTTTCTTCCCTCTTCCCCCACAATCCTCCACCCTCCTTGCATTTCATACCCAATCAATATTATTTGACAACACACAGGTCAGCAACGATGGAAGCATGGAAATTACAAAAGAAACTATTGTTTGGCTTGAAATTAAGGGCTAGTGGGATCAATAGTACATTTGAAAATTGATATCGATCATGGGATGTGTGTGTATGGGGGTGGGAGAAGATACTGGGGGCAATGTCCCTTCCCAGCGACACGACTTCTGTCTCATTCTAACAAATCCAATGAAATCAACCTAAAAATTATACATGGACAAATCTTTTTGAAACAATTGGAGTGGTGGTGGGGAAAGGGGGAAAAGTATTGACATCTCATAATTGGATTTCCCCACTTACAGCAGTAATGGGGAATTTTTGTTTTGTTTTGTTTTTTTACCCTCTTATTATTTTGCAAGGTTTGGACACCAGACAATTGTTTTTGAAGCCCGTGTTATTTACTTAAAGGTTTCTAACTCAACGTGCATTTGGAAAGGGGGGGGGGAGGAAGGGGGCAAGAGTGGAGTCAGCAGAACACCACTCACTTCAAAACAAGCTGGGAATCACAATCGTCAATGTTTAGCCCGCTGGAGAACTATTGTGTGACAAATTGATTTGGAGTCATCATTTGCTTAAAAAGGCAGTAAATGAAACTTTATGAGATGGGGACGAAATAACGACATGAAATTGTCCATCCAGAACTCCTGATGGTGATCAGTAAAATGAAATAGATTAACTGCTTTCATTCTTTTTTTTTATCTCCCCCCCTCCCCACTGCATGTCTCCACTATGACAGCATAATAGGCAAGAGGGTGGGACATGGGTGCTTTGCCCTTGACCGGGTGTGAACTGATGGGTTGCCCACTGTTGGCTTCTGATTGCCAAACCTGGTGGTTAGCAAGAACTTCCAGCCCATGTCCCTGTGTTTCCAACTTATTATCTGCTTTACTAGAAAGAATATATGGACCTGTCTGACCCATATTGTTTTTTTCTTCTTCCCATAACTCATACTGCCTCCTACTGTCAGACCTTTTCGTTTGTCTAGCTTAGAATTGTCCACACTGACTGGAAATGCCCGGGATTGAATCAAGAAGCTTCTGCATTCCAAGCATATGCTCTAGCACTGAGCTACAGTCCTTCCCTGATTCATAACTTTTGGTAGATCCAAAATGAAGAAATACAAGAGAGACAAGCGGATCTGCCTACCAAATAGAGAAGCATGTGTAGATAGCACAGTCCTCTCACTTCTGCTGCTAACACCACTCAACAGTGGAAGATGGGGCAAACTTGCACACTCCCCACTCCTGGAGATCTCTACTCTCACCAGAAAGCACCCACAATCCTCCTTCAACACATACAATGCTCATAAAGTCAAAAACCACCCCACAAATGAGTGGTGTCATTGCCCTTGATGTGACCCAAAATGGTGATCTGCAGTGGCACTGAACACTGTAGAATCATGGGTGAGGAACCTGCGGCCCTTCAGATGTTGTTATATTCCATTTTCCACATTGTTTACTTACTTATTTTATTACATTTATATACCACCTTTTCTTCCAAGAAGCTCAAGGTGGTGTACATGATTCTCCCTCTCCCCATTTCATCCTCACAACAACTCTGTGAGGTAGGTTAGGCTAAGAGATGGTGACTGGCTCAAGGTCACCCAATGAGCTACATGGCCGAGTGGGGATTTGAACCTTGGTTTCCCAGGTCAAAGTCCAGCACTCTGACCATTATGCCACAGTGCCTTCATCCTCCCTGACCATTGAACTTGCTGGATGCAGACTGTTGGGGGTTGTAGCCCAGCAATACCTAGAAGGCCACCATGTTTCCCATCCCTGCTCTAATTTTTATGGATTCATTTGACCTACCAGATTTCTCCTTCTGGTTTAATGCAAGGGGAACAACTGGGAGGAAATAAGCCAGCAGGAGAGGCACTACAAAGATGCCACATAAACAAAGATTTCTTTTGGGTTTGCATTCTCTCTCTCTCTCTCTCTCTCTCTCTCTCTCTCTCTCTCTCTCATCTCTTCCCTGGTCTGTCTAGAAGCAGCAAGAGTGACATTTGTAATATCCTCTCTCTCAAACTGTCTGCCGGTCGGGGAGTAATGAAGGGAGCTCGGCTCGTTTCTCGACTTCCTCAGGAGAGATCAAGATTTCTAATGGGAAAGTGGTGATGGAGATTGTCTGATCGCTTGTGCCCTCAGCAGAGACGACTTAGTCAATGTCACAATGCAAACCATCACTCACGAACCCTCGCTAAGCTGCCTTGACTACAGAGGCTTCCTATCCGGAGAAAGCATTGTCTAGCTCTGCTTTATTTCTTAATGGGATACTTGGCTCTTGGAAACAAAAACAGTGAAGACTGCTACCCTCAAGGATAGTTTCTTTCTTACTTGGGAGAAGTATTCTTGGAAGGAGCAGCTCTTTCATTGAAGCCTCCACAAAACAAGTTACTCAGGAGTAACTATATGGCAGTAACTATACACCCCTTCATGGATCACTGCCTTGCTGTGGTGAAGGGGCTTGAATAACTCAGAGAAGCTATGAACTATGCCGAGCAGGGCACCCAAGATGAGCAGGTCATAGTGGAGCGTTTTGACCAAACGTGATCCACCTGGAGGAGGAACCGGCAAGCCAATCCAGTATCCCTGCCAAGAAAACTCCATGGACAAAGACAACAGGCATATAAAAGTTATGATGCTGGAAGATGAGCCCCTCAGGATGGAAGGCGTCCAACATGCTACTGAGGAAGAGCAGAGGACAAGTACAAGTAGCTTCAGAGCTGTTGAAGCAGCTGGGCCAAAGCTGAAAGGACGCTCAGTTGCGGATATGCCTGGAAGCGAAAGGAAAGTCCAACGCTGTAAAGAAAAATATTGCATAGGAACCTGGAATGTAAGAACCATGAACCTGGGTAAGTTGGATGTGGTCAAAGTGGAAGACAGAAGTGCCGTGGAAGACAGAAGTGCCTGGTGTGCTCTGGTCCATGGGGTCACGAAGAGTCGGACACGACTAAACGACTAAACAACAACAACGGCAGTAGCTAAACAACTATACGACAGTAGCTGAGTGATAGAGCAGCTGTTTGACGTGTAGAATGAACCAGGGTTAATCCCTGCCATCTTCAAGTAGGGTTGGGAATGCCTGAGAATGTCCAGTCAGAGTGAACATGACATGACATGCTACCCTCACAAAACAGTTTATAACATTCTAAAACAGCCTTTCTCAACCTGTGGGTCCCCAGATGTCGTTGAACTACAACTCCCATCACCCCTAGCTAGCAAGGCCAGAGCTCAGGGATGATGGGAGTTGTAGTCCAACAACATCTGGGGACCCACAGGTTGAGAACCACTGCTCTAAAACTCAGGAAAACACAATTAATAAACTCAAATTCTTCTTTTTTCAAGATTGAAAGACTCAGCACAGTTCAACCCACTGAATAAACTTGAATCAAAGTATATTCAAAGGGTTTGCATTGTTTAGAATCAGCAATGATGTGGCTGTACATATTTTCAACAGTGGAAGATTCTGCCCTGGAAAGCAGCAAACTGACCTTTCCAAGAAGTTGATTGATCTAATTTGATTTATTATATTTCTGTGCCATTTTTCATTTGAATTAATCCCAAAGCGGCTTACAAACAATAAATAGCAATAACATGATAGAACAGAATGGAACATCAAAAATGCAGCATAAATCATATAGAAGAATGAACGAACAATCAGTGAAAACAATACAATCTATAAAACACTGCTCATAAGCAGTGACCGGATGACCACCCACCAGGAATGCTGTGTGAGTGACTTGCTTGTATTGATAAGAGGCTGGTCTAGAATCATTTGAGAATCATAGAATTGTAGAGTTAGAAGGGGCCGTGAGGGCCATCTAGCCCGACCTGCTACAATTCAGGAATCTCAACTAAAGCATCTTTGACAGGTGGCCATCCAACCTCTGCTTAAAAACCTCCAAGGAAGGAGAGTCCACCATCTTCCGAGGGAGTCATTCCCACTGTCAAACAGCTGTAACCATCAGATAATCCTTCCTAATGTTTAATCAGAAACTCGTTAGTTTTCATTTGAATCCATTGGTTCAAGTCCTACCCTCTTGTGATGTACTAAGCTTGGATCCTAGAACAATAGGCAAATAGGATCCTAGAATGCAACAACTGATTGGCCTGCAGGAAAAAGACCAATCAGGCTCCAGGAGGAAGTTAATCAGCCTATTAGACTGGTAGGATCCTAGAATGCAACAACTGATTGGCCTGCAGGAGGGAAGCAGAATCAGCCAATCAGACGGGACCCATTGTGTAAATAATGTATATAAAAGCCTGAGGTTTGGGGGGCAATTCAATCACTTTTTTACAAGCTGCAATAAAGAGCATGAAATCACTACAGGACTACAGTATATTTCACCTCTGGATCTGCAGAAACAGATTTGCTCCATCTTCCATGTGACAGCCCTTTGGGTATTTGAAAATGGCCATTCTATTCCCCTCTCAGTCTTCTCGCCCACAACCATTCCTCATAAGTCTTGGTTTCCAGACCCTTGATCATCTTGGCTGCCCTCCTCTGCTAATGTTCCATCTTGGCAACATGTTCCTTAAGGTGTGGCACCCACAACTGGACACAGCACCATGGGGCCCAGTGCTTTGGATGGGCCTCCCTGTGGAAAGTTGAATACTTTTCAGCCTTATGATTCTTTGAATTAACCATGAACACCATCCCATTGTTGCTTGTCAACTGTCACAGTTTTGGATATCCAGGCTGCTGATCCCAGGTCTTTTGATCCAGATTCAGAACCTTTATCTCTTCCTTCCCCCAAGGCAGCCAGGTTCCATTGCATTATCAAGTTCACATCCGCGGCAAGCGAGTGATTCCACCCCGGGCAGACTGTCAGGTTCCCCATGGCCGGCAAAGGTTTTTATGAAATCAGATGTATTTGTCTTGATGTTTAGTAGAGAGCATGAAATTCAAATCTGGGCATTTGGCAGTCGGTGGACCAGCCCTTTAATATTCAATGACATAACTTCATTGCGGTTTTGACAACGCGCTCTAGGAGTTTGTGCTTACCACTGGAAATTAAAGCCACTGAAAGAGTCGACAACAGCAGAATTGCGAAGACTCCCTAGCTCCTGAGGTGTTTGTTATTCTCATTTGTCGAAGGTTGTTATTGTGTTTGTAAGACCGTCACATTCTATTTAGAGGCCCACCTGAAGTCGATGCAATACAGGTATATACTGGGGAGGAGGGGAACCTTTCGACATGTTTTTCCACAACATTTCTGCTCTAGCTACTGGTCTGCAGTTTCATTTACTCACGACCCAATTGATTAGATCATTGTCAAGAGCCCCTTGGGAGGAAGACTCAGTGTGTGGGAGCACGTGAATAAGAAAGCTCTTTAGAAGCCTGCTTGTTTTCTTTCTGCTTCCCCCCGAAAAAAAACATATTCATAGGGGTGCTGTGTGTCTTCAAAGGGGAGCACAAGGGAGACACATCTCCTTGAGCTGGAGCTCATGCTTGAATCACAAATAAAGACTTTGAACATGTCCAGAGTGCATTCAAGGGAACGCTGGTGGCGCTGTGGGTTAAACCACAGAGCCTAGGACTTGCTGACCAGAAGGTCGGCGGTTCGAATCCCCAAGACGGGGTGAGCTCCCGTTGCTCGGTCCCTGCTCCTGCCCACCTAGCAGTTGGAAAGCACGTCAATGTGCAAGTAGATAAATAGGTACCGCTCCGGAGGGAAGGTAAACGGCATTTCCGTGCGCTGCTCTGGTTTGCCAGAAGCAGCTTAGTCATGCTGGCCACATGACCCGGAAGCTGTACGCCGGCTCCCTCGGCCAATAAAGCGAGATGAGCGCTGCAACCCCAGAGTCGGCCACGACTGGACCTAATGGTCAGGGGTCTCTTTACCTTTACCTAGAGTGCATTCAGCTCCATGATATGGGTGGGTTGAGCTGCTAATTCTACCCCATTTTGGCCGCACTATAAAATTGAAGCATTGGAAGGGACCCTAAGGGTCATCTAGTCCAATCCTCAACTCCCTGAGATTGAGAACTCAGTCGTCACTTCTATTCTGTTTCATGCTACTGTGCTCTGTTTCATCCCTTTGAGTGATTTTATGTAGAAAGAGCCGGCTGGGTCAGG